TGTTGAGGAGAGTCAGCTTTTCGTTTCTTTCTGGCTCTCCTTGGACACAGGTTCTTTTATCTCTCTATAAGGTGGAAGAAGACCCAACACCACGTCGTCTTTTCTGAAGTTTATCACAACGCAACACGAATCGATTCGGGCTCCTGTGAGTCTCAGATTTCATCAGGAAGCCTCGAAGAAATACAGTCTCGCGTATATATAGGCATAGTATGTTAATTACGTTAATGAGGGGCGGGCAGTCCTACCCCTTATGTAAAAATCAGAGACAAAGAAAGGTCAAGGCAGTTCGATCTTGGCATTTTGACAAAGTACAGACCACATCTGCTGTGCACAAATTATGAGATTGGAGTTCCTTTCTCAGGGAACTTGACAGCCCTGAGGGGCACAGCAGAGATGGGAGACCAGAAGAAGACACTTGGGGGCTGTTAACCACTCAAGGGGAAATAGGATCTAAACTTCACACTACATTCTTTGTTTTAAGCACTTCAGCAGATGTTCAAGACAGAGACTAGTGTCAATAGTTCTCATAGCAAGGTGAAATTCCTCAACAATGCTCTACTACTACTTCTAGAGGAATAATTCCTCAACAAAACCCTCTCTTGATCACAATTAATATTGTGATCACAAAACTTCTGTGCCAAAATCTGTCGTCAAAGTGGAGCCACCTATCCTATCTTGTGCAAAGTATTATCAAACAAACTACAGCCAGAAGTAACAGTCTCAGTGAAGCTTGACACCAATGCCCATATCAGTAGAGGAATAGAGACCAAAATAACCAGTTTAATCAGAAAGATATGTTATTAGTTCTGGTCCCACTGATAACTTTGTCTTGGTTTCATGTCCAGTTGTCCTTCCGAAGGTGACTTTGGAGTTGGAGATGCTTCTTGGGGCTGTTGCCTTCCATCCAGGTAGACAGCACGACGGGTCCTTTGTGTCACTTTGCGTGGTCCCATTCATCTCAGCTGGTGCCACTTCCGCTTTAGGACCCCCAGATACACACTCTCGGGATACGTCTGTGGTTTCCCGGGGTGTTCACCCTGGAGTCTTGTCCGCTCCTGAAAATGGGAGACGAGAACACTCAATGAGTCTATCTTTGCTTTATGGGGAATAGAATTTTCTGTTGGAGAGTGCCCAGGACCATGGAACACCACGGAACAGGGAACTCCTGGTCATGTTCCATCTTAAGAGGTGTGAAACCTGTGGCGGAATTAATGGTGGACCTCATGGTGAGAAGCACAAATGGCAGCGCCTCATCCCAATCCAATTTCTCTGAGGTCATCACCATAGGAGTTTTGATTTAACTCCGGAGAGCCCACGGGGTCTAATTTGGCCCCTATATTCTGCTACTCAAATGCTCCTCTGAAATCCTAAAGGGTCAAATTTGGCCCAAATCCTAAATTAGGATCAAAGTATTAAATATTTGACAAAACATATATTTTGGTGTTCAGTGAACATATAGCAGTCATTTAATGTATAATTAATAATTTTCCAAAGAAGAAAAGGGTTCTTGGGTTCTCCAGGGATAAGCCTCTGATTCATTGGTTCCAGCTTACCCATGCCTCCCAAATTGGAGTCTTCAGTTTAATTGCCGACAGGACTGGACATCCATCAATTTCATGCCGATACAAACCAGTCTCACCCCTGGCCACCCGGTTTGTTCTTCCCCTCCGGGATGCCCTCTCTTGGTCTGAAATAAGGTTGTTAGTTTGGAAAACATACATTTTCCCATTCTCGATTCCACTACCATCACCGTCTGAAGTCGTCGTCTGATGTCTCTTTAGTCATCTTATCTGCTTTGTCATTTCCTACTTCTACGTGAGAAGTCCTTCTAACATGCGCCCTGCATTCAATAACTACTTCTTTTGGTTTCAGCGGTGCCTCTCATAAGTTTTTTTATTTTTTCTTTCACGCTATGTTTAATCGATGTTCCTGCTGCTGTTTTTGTAAACATTTGCCTCATGCTGTCGCATATCTGATACATGCTGCATGTTTTTGATCAATTGGGTCCAATTGCATGCTGACGTATGTCAAAACTCGTCAAAATTAGTCTTTTACTTCCCTGTTGTTTCACGTTCCTGTCATTCACGTTCCCCTCTCTTTCCTGAAAAAGAACTACAGAAACAGAGCCCTCTTTTTCGGAAACATCCAAGTAAATCAGCTAGATCAGGACTCACAAGAGAAGCCGGCATCGCTGTACCTTCTGATGTGTTCAAACTCCCCAAAAATTTAAAAGGCAAAGCGCATTGAAAATTTCCCGTATGATAAATGTCAAAGGAGCCACCTTGTGGCTTCCAAACAACAAGTCTCAGATGCTGCACCGGGAAGAACATTACCATACCATACCATACCGAATAAGTTACCATTACATACCGAATAAGTACACCGCCATCTGGAGTTTTGAAGGAGTAGAGTAGCCGTTGAAGCACTTGAATAAAAATTCCAGAAGACAAATTGAATACGTGGGGCAAACGAGTGTAGCGTAATTTAACTCCAAGGTGAGAGAATGAGAAAATTTCCCTATACAATTCTGAAAGTGATATATGGAAAAAAACATTTGCTAAATCGATTACAGAAAAATGTGTACGAATGAGAATTTTTGTATATCTGAGTAGACGGCAAAAACATGAGAATTTTTGTATATTTGAGTAGACGGCAAAAACAGTACAAGCGGCGTATTCATGCCAGGCATACGATACCAGTCAATGAGATGAGATCCTCTGACAGGTCCACTCTGACAGGTCCACTCTGGCTGCCACACCCTTCAGGACATACAATAATTGAGGAAGGAACATTAAATAAATTGCCTTGTGTTTCATCCAACCAGGCCATGTGATAAATTTCTTTCTCTAGTATGTCAAAAGCATTGTGCAGTGGGAAGGATCGATCAGCGGATGGTAAGGTCATATGGAGGAAGTCTAAGGAGACCAAAGCCGATACTGTTGGAAGACAGAGTTCGGTGGTGGGTCATCAGCTGACTAGCAATAGTCAGCCTTGTATCAGCAGGCATTGGGAGCAAGTGTGGTCTAGCATGTTCAGGTTCACGACAGTCTTTTGTGGTCCAGCATGTTCAGGTTCATGACAGTCTTTCAGTGAGGTCAGCGGTGATCCCAATTGTTGGGGATTCAAGTACCCACGGAGCAGATGGGTATCGTCCATGTGGGGGTGCCGTAGCTTGTCATTGTTGTTGGTTTTGTGGAGGAGTCAGAGCTTGTTGATCATAGCCTGATTGATGAACAGGTAGGTGCCGGCGGTGCGGGCATTTCCGTGTCCAATGATTCACATCACCACAAATGAAACAGCCAGCTTGGCTCCCGTGACTTCCTCGTCCACGCCCACCTTCCCGTCTCGGACCTCCCCCGAGCCATGCGTCTCGGCCCTGCCTTGTGGGCAGGCCGTAATGTTGAGGTGGGGCTTGGAGCTGCGGTGGGGGTGTGATCAGCCGTGGTGGAGCCTGTTGAGAGACACTGATTGACATTTGATTAGATCCCCCAAGTTTCTCTTTTTTGCATGCATTACTGGAGGCTCTCTTAGCCTCTTGTATTCGTGAATTCAAAAAGTTGTTCTCTAGCTTGGATGTTTTCTCAGTCTCTTCCTTGGCTTCGATTCGGGATTGCTGCACATAATATAGGAAATGAGTTTGCCAGTTCACGTCATCTGAAGTGGGGAGAGTGGGAGAGTTAGTCATCATTTTCTGCACATCAGACGGACAACCCCCCAGCACTGCTTGCCTGAACAAAGCTTGATTCAATGGATGACTACTGGGGTCCAGCCCAGTTGCAGTCACCCAAGCATCTATACAATTAACCAAATAAGTCATTGGGTGTACCTCAGATAACAATTCAAACGCCAATTCTTGTAGGGGACCCAATGGAGTTTGATAAGGGGAACTCAATGCGTCTGATTTTCTTTCATTCAACCTGGTTATTTTGCAAGAGGCTATTCCCTCTAAAAGGTCCATAATCTCTTTGGGTAAATACTTACTCTTAAGCCAGTCTATTGCCCACAACTGTATGTCATAGTCAATTTTAGGCAAATCCAGCAACATTTGCCTAGCCAATTCAGTCTCATTCCTTATAAAAGTGGTCGCATCCCAAACACTCATGCTATCATTATCCTGTTTAATTTGCATACATTTTTCTAATTTTTACCAATTGTTTATGAACCGCCCTGGGCAGATCAGGGGGAAGCTTGGCACACAATGGATTCGGGTGGGGGCCAGTAAAATGGCGAGAATGTGTTATCCCCCTTTCTGTAAGTATGTGCTTACACGAAGAGCCCCTGGGGAGCCTACACAATGATTAAAGTGCCCCTCTGTGAAAAGGCGTTTATAATTTGTCTTAATTCACGCAATATCTTTAAACCTCACAACAGTGTCTGCAATTGTGATGAATATAAACAATTTTTTTTCGTGTGTCTGCTGAGCTCAGGTCTCTCTGCCTGCAAATCGCCCATCCGCTCCAAATTCTCCTGCCTTGTCTATGTACAAATGACCACTCGGCGCTTGTAGTGGGGTCCCAAATTTAGCGCTCCTCACCCCATGTGGTGGAGGAGGCATCATCGCTGCCTTGTTTATCATAACTTTGTCAGTGTTACTTTGGTTATTCATTTTTTCTTTTTCCAATGTCGACGGCAGTGGTTAAGCCGTCCATGAAATGCAATATAGCTCAAATTGAATTTCACTTATCTTTTTCTTCTTTTCCTTTTCCTATTTCAGACTTTTGTCTTATTCTTACAACGTATTCTTAAAACCTTGTTTTCGTTTTACTTACCTCTCTGCGCAATGCATTCGCCCTTTTCTCTCTCGGCGCTATGCATTCACCTTCTTTTTTTTTCCTACTTACCAACCGACATCAAATTGAATTTCACTTATCTTTTTCTTATTTTCCTTTTCCTATTTCAGACTTTTGTCTTATTCTTACAACTTATTCTTAAAACCTTGTTTTCGTTTTACTTACATCTGCGCAATAATTTCGCCCTTTTCTCTCTCTGCGCAATGCATTCACCTTCTTTTTTCTTCCTACTTACCAACATACGGTATTTTAACCGTTTTCTTGCCTTCAGGCCGTCCGCCCACCTTAGAGTTCACCATGTTTTTATCATACTCACCGTCTAATATACTCCCTGATGGACCGTGTGACGTCACGTAATTCTCCAATTGTAACAATGGAGCTGTCCCTAACTTGCCCTAAAAATACAGCTGTTTACTCAGACTGCGATCTCCAGTCGCCAGTCCTACAATTTAACAGCATCCAGAATAATAAAATTACCTGGACCTGCCTCAGCAATAAACCACTAATTTTTTAATTGCCTACGAACTCAGTATGGTCTTTGCTCGTCAGCTACTAGCCAAACCTACGACTCAACGGTTCTACCTAATTTAAACCGCCTACTTGGTGCCTCAACAACTGTGCCAATTCAGTTATCTACTACTCAGTGGCAAATTTTAGACGGTATATTGTTTTGAATATACCTCACACC